AACACAAGTAATCTATGCTTACACTAATAACCGAATTTATGCTGAATCATAAATTCTATTAATGAGTTATATCACTTTACGCCTAATTTTTAACATAAGAGGGGAGAAAACTCCAATTTAATGTTAGCGTACCATTTCAACCAAAATGTATGTGTTACGACATGTCGCAACTTACAATTTAGTAAAAATATCTTGTCAATATCTTATACGGTTTTTGAAAAGAAGTGAAAATAAGCCAAAATCAAAATTTAAAATATAACCTTGACCTCTGACCTTGACCTTATTTTCTTATTTTTGGACCTAGGAACTCAAATCAAAAGATCCTAGGTCTCTATCACTTATGGTTTACAAGATAGAAATGCATATCACTAATAACAAACGCATAAGGGGAAATAACTCTCATATGGAGTGTTCGTATCCTTCGGTCAAAATAGGACAAATCATGCGAAGAATATAGCAAGCAATTTTATAAAATAAAGTTGTCGCTTTCTTTTACGGTTACAGAGGAGATGCAGTCACAAGGAAAACAGTGTTCGGGGAGATAACTCCTACAAAGAAAAGTCTTCAGTTACGCAGGGTGAATTTCAAAGGCGCATAAACTGTTCGATATCATATATCAAACATCTAAGCGACATCTTGCGTAACAAACTTTATACGCAAGAAATAAAAGTGGCGGAAGAAGAAAAAAAAAATAATAATCAGAACAAATACAAAAGTAGTGAATCAAATGATCAAATATTCTTTATATAGAATAACAGCCACGCTCTTTATAATGATGTGGGTGGATTATAATATTTAATCCTGATTCTCAGTTTAAAAAAATGACATGTATTAGCAGACAAAAGAGAGAAAACAATTATTTAGAATAGTTCGTTAAAAATTGTTGAAAAAATGATCTGCTTTTCCGCGATAAAAATGTCATGAAGAAAAAGAAAAATAACATAGCATTCCCCTTTCATAAACTAAGTTGATACAATAAACTACTTACTAAGTGACTTGTATTTTTCATACACCTTAACAATTCATTTGGGTCTTCCTCATGCAGTTCCAGTAATATTTGTATTGTAACTGGATACTGATTTCTAAAGTTTATATCAAGATTAATTAGTGAGTTGTATTTCAATTTATAAATGAGCCGTAGTGCGTATTAAAACCTGAACGCAACAGAAAAGAATATTCCACTTTATTGTGGTCGGTAAAATAGAATGCAAATCCTGTTAGTCTTTGCCGAAAATAATATGTTTTGACGGCATATAAGTCTGACTAATGCATATTTTAAGGGTTTTCTTGTCGTATAACACACCGAAGGGTGTCAGGTAAGGATTCCCACAGAAAGACCTTCCTACGGTCGGTCTTTCATTTGATAAATCCTGACACCCCTCGGTGAGTTATAAGACAAGAAAAGCCTTAAAGTATGCATTATCTATAACATAACATGAGATTATGCAATAATTTAAACTTTTGGTAATTTACTTCATAGTTAATTAACATATATGTAAAACTAGTAAGTCAGTATGATAATCGGTTTTAATACAGGTGAATATAACCAGTATAAACTATCCTCAGGACTAAAAAAATAAATTGACAAATGACATGTTTTGAATGCTATTGCAAGTTCATCAGACAAAATAATCAGATAGATATTATCAAAATTTAACAAAACAACCATACAAGATCTAGTGAATAATCCTACATTATACCGATTGGTGCATGTTATCTGAATACAATAAATGATAGTTCACAGAGATGGCATACTTTATGCAATTTAGTCATCCGTTTGATAGCAATTAATTTACAGCATGTATATAATTGCAAAATGCAATGAAAACCACTCAACTATTCAGATCAAAGTCCACAATACGAAGTTGAAGAGCAAGTCAGATCTGTATAGTTGTGACAAAGTTTTGATATAAAGTAACATTTTAGTAACACTATCTTTCATTTGTGGAAAATGCCTTACAGTTTCGATTGTTTAAACACTCATATCTTTTTAGTAAAGTCACTTTATCGGTTACATTATGTACAGCAGAACGACCGGTGGCACAGGTTGAGTATCACCTGTTATTGTAAAAAACAAACGATATGGGGTATCCATCAATGATACAAAATCAGTACATGTACAGCAAAAGACACACATAAGCCAAAGGAACAGCGCTTTTATTGCTGTTCTTCGTCTTAAAGTCAGAGTCAGGAGCAAAAAACAAACCCTCACTACAAGATTAAGACGGCCCCTAGCACCGGCTTGAGCGAATTATTTGCAGATCACCGCCATATCGGGCACGGTCGAAAAGAAAATACTGGAAAGCAGTATGTATTAAAAACAAAACAGTTCCTACGTATAGGTAAATATCAGACTATGTAGAATGAATTTTGTTAAATTAGGTATCAAATGAATGGTGAAGGACTGGTGATCCTTGTAGAACACATTTTGAATGATCATTTTGAATAATACAACATGTATGAATGAATTCTAAAATAGCGGACATATATTGCCTGTTTCTCAGATATGATGATGATAATGATGATGATGATGATGATGATGATGATGATGATGATGATGATGATGATGATGATGATGATGATGATGATGATGATGATGATGATGATGAGGACGACGACGACGATTACGAGGATGATGATGATGATCACAATGATCATGATGATGATGATGGCTGCATAACGTCCAGCGGCAAATTATTATGCATATTCAGGACGAGAACAATTTAATCGTGTTAATGTTATATGAATATTTACCCTGCTTTGTACTAGACCGTCACGCTGAGCCAGATTTTTTTAACGTGCTAGTTCACAAGGTGACAGACCCCAGGAAAACATTACCCGGACATATTATTTTGACTCCGAGCCGTCCAGTCTTTGCTCTAACTCCTCAATGCCGCGTTCTTAGCGGAGAAGCAGCAAATACCAATTTTAAAGTCTTTGGTTTGACCCTGTCAGGGTCGAGCCCACGACCTACCGCATTCGAGGCGAACACGCTACCACGAAACCACCGAGACGGTTTTCTCAAATATGAAGTACCTGGTTTGGTATTCCAAAGTTCCGGTACCCAGTGCGATCTGCAGTGTAAATAACGGTATATTGACCCCCCTCTCCTAAATATTTGAAAGTGAAATATTCAACGTAGATAGGAATTGGTAATTTTTTACCATGATGTTTTTTTGTTTTTAAATAAAAATTTTAATGCTCTTTTGTATCTTCTCTCTCTCAATTTTTACAAATACCTCTGCTGGTGGACTGTTTGTCCCCGATGATATCATCAGCCCATTTACTAGAACTTCGGTACTTGTATGAATATACGGATATTGTTTTATTGGAATTTGCTGATTTAGAATTTAAAATTATTTAACAGTGAGTAATGTATCTCCCTTATGCGTAGCTCTGATTTCTCGTCTGGGCTATGGCTATACTTTTGACCCTTTTTTATTTATTCAGCTCTTCAATGTTTTCATTTTTTATGGCTTTTCAAATATATTTGGTTCGAGCATCACTGACGACACATTAATTGCCGAAATACGCATCTAGTGCAGAATAAAATGGTACTGCGAATGTTAATATATATATTATATTATGCTTTATACTTTTTGCGTTTAATTTAATTCAAACAATAAAGTTTAGTTTAGAAATTGATGTGTCCATTTTCATGCCGTGTACGTATGCATCCTAACCTGTTTAGAATTTTATTATATCGTGTTGAAAACTGTTAAACAATCACAACAATCATAGCTACGCCATATATTCCTTTGTTTTACAATGAAGAGCTGGATATCCCTTCACTGTACTGGATACACAGATACATATTAAGGTGAAGTTGGTATATTGCTGCTAAGGTGGGGAAAATTTATAATTTCAAAATTAAAATCATCTCAATTGTCATAGATTCTGGTACTGAGATGACCACTTATGTCAAATTCGAGGTATAAGTCTAAAATGAGACGGAGGAAGCCGTGTCTTTTGTTTCTTTAATTTCTAGTTCTGGAGGATATATTATTAGAACCCAATCAGAAAAGTTTGGATTGTTAATTGTAAAGGATCCATTAAACACAGAATATATCGTTTAGGATGCTTTATATATCAAAGCAAAGACAATGAGTGACAGTTAAGTACTGATTTTTCATTTAAATGTAGCAATAATCTGGCGGCACCTGCATATGGAGTATATCAATCCCAGTTGATACGATATTCACCAGCTATCATGATTTTCTTTATAGACCGTTGCTTTTACTAGGAAGTTGTTTAACTGAGGGCTCATTATTGTAATGTTTACAGAATCCCTCCAAATGATTCACGGACGCCATTATATGATATGTACGTCTAAGTTGACAACGCACATGTTCCATTTATCGTAGCGAAATCCTGCCTTTTTTGTCCTCGATTTAGACTTCATCGAATGCGACTTATTGTCGAATTTCTATTGCCGGGAAACAATACGATGGGTATTACATACTGACTTGATATTTCATACTAAACACGATCTATGAAAATGCTGATACGGAAGTTGCCATTCGTATGAAAAAGCGAAACCTGTTGACACTACAGGTCAAAAGAAAGTGGATGATGTTAATAGATTTTAAGCGATATAAAGATAAGTGTATCAATTAGAAGAAGAACAAACCACGCATTCAGATACACGACCAGTTTGGTACGACTGTTGCTCGTGTTTGATAGTGGTACACATTAAAAGTAAAAACAAAAAAATCACAATGGTATAACAAATAGATACCAAAAGGATGGTATTACGCTATTCATATATTAATGTAAACTTCATTTCGGATGCAGTTTTTCAATTGAAGTGGCCAAATAATGACTCTGATTTTGGTTTCTCTCTAAGAAGAAACAGTTCATTAGTATTATATAATTGAACTACTTCGAACATAATTTCTGCCTCCATTTTATTTTTTACTCTGACTAATATATAGTATTTTCAATTATTCAATTATGCATCTTTCTTTTGAATGTTGAATAACGGCTTGTTTAATTCACAGATAACTTGGCTTACAATCAAACAGCAAAGATAATTCCTGTGGGCCAAACTAATGCAAGACTTTCAGTCGATGGAGTCATATCAACTTGTAATAGTTTGTCTTTTACTGGAACCAGTTCCTATTTGCAGGTTGCATTTGAATCCCTAAGTGTTATAACTACATTGCATTTTGTTTTTGGAGGTGAGCAGATCACCAGTTATCTAGAAGTTTGGACATTTGTTCATTATTACATGAACCAAATGTACACATACATCTTGCACATTGATGTTTCTCTTGACTTAACTTTTGTATAGGGCTACTGGTTTGGCAATGTGCAATATTTAAGTATCGCAGATGCGTGTAACACATGCATCTTGTTACTAGGTTAGTTGCAATATAGTGACACGGTATTCATATTTTTATACATAATTAACTGACTAGATAAGGCATGCATTAAAGGAGTTGTTGGGTAAATAGCAATTCACAGCAACCCAACGAAAGGACAACGAAAAGAATTATCGAAGGAAGAAAACAGTGTTTATCAACAAACAGATGCATACATTACATGTCTTGTGCTTTCACTGATTGTATCATTTATATATTTGCAGATATCGTAAAGAAAGCTAAAAAATTGGGATTGGTTCTGTATCTATGACGTTTTATCATAAATTGTGATTCATAACAGTTAATGAAATTGATCTGAAATTAGACGGGCACAGTTAATGCTCATTATAATGAGATTAACTTTGACGTTGACAAAGTTGACTAGAAAAGAGAATTGAAAAGTTTGTGAAAAATGAATAATGAAATAAATTTTGTTATACTTTTTAATATTCAAATCGTTCTTTCTTTTCAAAAACATCCAGCGACAAACGGTATTAAAGTTAACTAGTTATTTTATATTGACTCAGCATTTCTAAGTCTGACAAATACTAAAATAAATCAAAATATGAATTATACTCATTTGAAAGGTTTTATTTAGCTCCGTGTGTATAAAACATAATTCGATATACACGTATATGAATCGTCATCAGAACAGCATAACAAACTCAGACGACATCTAATGGCTAGCATACGATCGTAAACGATTTACAGGGGTATATACAGTATGCCATGCTCTAAATAGCTCGAATCTCAAATAGAGATGAATGAATTCAACCGCGATTATGAAATTCTACAACCAAAAGACAATCACCAGCGAGGTGCCTGACTTGTGACAGAAACGCGACAAGTGACTTAAGAACGATTTTAAGCTTCCAAGATAATTATTGCTTCTGGTATAGCAAGGAGATAGGGTATGAATCTGAGTCAACTATCCTCCAAAACCCTAAGGACAAGGATGCGAAAAACTAATGGTCTACGTACAACCTTTAACAATATGCAAAACGCAAACTGTATAGTATGATATAATAGGCCCCAAATTGACTTAATTTGAAACAGAAAACAACATGTCAACGAACTAATTTATGCCAAAAAATAAAATAACCAAAAATGCAAACAGGAACCAACTACAACTAACTGATAACATACTTCTGACTTGGTATCTGCCAATGCAGAATTTGGAGGGGTGAAATATATTAGTGCGATGCTGTGTCCTTACACCTTACATGAGACAATGGTATAACAATATAACAATAACATCACCCTTAAAGGTCTATACTCATCACTTATCGATTATAAGCACCAAAATACAAAAAACAAAAAAACCCGAAGTATAACATACTGACACAATTTGATTGTTTTTATTGGCAATGCTTTTTCCCTTTCTTTATAACAGCTGTTATTTTGTCTACAGATAAAACGACTGATTACGATGGTCATGCAGTCTATTGTTCTAATACCACTGATACTTGGATTAATGGCACAGTATTGTACAGGGGCAAACGTTTAGACAAGGACATCAATGTCTTTGTTGTTTGCATATATTTGATATATGTACCACCAATGTTAAATGGAGATTCTAAAGTTGAATTGTGTGAAATAGAAATCGGTGGTAGGTATCTTAACTGGAGATTGAGTCATTCTCATGTTATCTGTGTTTATTCAGTTACTAGTGAATTTCTATTACAATCTTTAAATGATAAATTGATTGCATGTTAATCCTTAAAAAACTTAAAGTGATATGATGTAAACTAATAGAGATATCTTGAAAAATAAATTAGATATCTTATATATCAAGCTAGCTGGGGTGTCTTATTGTTCGACGATGTGTTTTTTCTTAGACTTCTGTAAAAGACTTCTGGGTCAGTGTTCTTTCAAATTTTAATATATAAAAAGGAGGTCACGGACCTTATTTTTTCGTAAAAATCATATTGAAATTAACGAAGTCGAGATTATTTTATATTGAGGAAACATGAAACGATAATATTGGCTAAAATTCAACTAAAGAATTGTGTTTCGTTAATACTTCTGAAATATCTAATAAATATAGGGGAACAAGGGCTTTGTTGTCTTAAAACATACATAAAAAGGCAAAGTGTCCTATCAAATTCAATATAAGTATATGCCCTTGATTTTAAAAGTATTTTCTCTGAACATTTTAAATACAATGTACGACACTTATTTTGTTTAAAATTAAATTTTAAATTTCAAGTTTCAGATATTTTTGTTGTACCAAGTATATTGAATGATACATGGTAAAATATTTTTAAAACAAGAAAGTGTTTTTGCAGCATGCTCAGAAGGAATGCTCAGGAAAAGACTGAAGTATTATCTACTTTAAATAAGATATCTAACATACCAAATAAGATATCTTATAAATCCAATAAAATCTCTTATATATTAAATAAGACATTTTATATGCTAAATAAGATATCTGATAGATTCATTAAGATATCTGATAAATCAATCATATAAGATATTTGTATAATTTTGCTTATAACAATGTAAAAGTTATCTTGTATTTCTTATAAGATATCTTGTATTGCAAAAAAGATAACTTGTAAAGTAAATAAGATATTTCATCAACTAAATGAGATATCTTATATAATTTTAAAGATATCTTATATAATTTTAAAGATATCTTATATAATTTTAAAGATATCTTATAAACTATAAAAGATATCTTTTGACAAATCTTTCTAAAATAGTCCGTTAATAAATTTTGAAATTATAAGAAACTAAGGTTTCAACTCCCTCAGGTAAAGTTGACCTTAGATAAAATTGGCTATTGTTTTAGGTTCGTTTTTGGTCATGTAGCTCTTCAACTTTTTAGGTTATTATACATTCTTGGCTTTTAAATATTCGGCCTTGAGCGTTCCTGATGAAGGTAAATCCAGAAAAGCGCTTCGGACGCATGCAATTTATAATGTGTTGTTTTCATCTTTTTTCATAAAGTATTTGTTAGATAGATATATTTAAAAATATATAAGATATTTTTTAAACTGTATCAGATATCTTCTTATAGTTTACGAGATATCGTAAAGCGTTAATAATATATCATGTCAAGGAGCATAAGCTGTTAAATCTATGTTTTGACTCAAATTCTCATATTTCATTTATAACAAACAAAAAATGTATATCCAAATTACAAAAGGTCTAAAATTGATAATTAACAATGCATGAACTCGATAATATGTATCTCCATTTCGTGTATATTTTAGTCAAAATGCTATCAATTTAACCATCGAGATGACCTCCAAAAATTGCCGACGGTCATATAACTATATATAAACATAAATATAGATATAAATTGATAGCGACCACGTGCAATTAGATTTTTCTTGGTCTGCTTGATTTCATATTATAGGTAAAGAAATATGTTAATCAACGTTTTTACCTGTATAGGATTTTGTGGATCGAACCAGTCAATCAAATGGTTCATCCTTGTTTCACTTTCAATGTTGACATTCCTTTCCTTTTAATAGCTGCACACACCTAGTACATTTGTAACCCATCTCTAGCTAAGGGGTTAGATTGAAGGTTACATGAATATGGATTCAATGAGGTTAAATTATTAATACACCAGTGATGTTTCTGACCTAATTTTCACATATTTGGGCCAACCTGACTACTTATAACGAACTATTCTTTCAAATTCCGCTTTTATTAATACTTGAAACAAAAAGAATCATATTCTAAATTTTTGTCTTATTCGTAGCTAATGCACATTTATAGTATATAAGAAATCTTATTAATCTAAAATTTAATAAGATATCTCAAATAGAATAAAAGATATCTTATATACTTTATAAGATATCTCAAATAAAAAAAAATATCTTATATACTTTATAAGATATCTCATTTATTGTATAAGATATCTTAAAATTGAATAAATATAAAAAAAAGCTTACCATATATGTATTATTTATTATTACTACCAGTATATAAACTATGTTTACTAGCATGATATTACAGTGCAATGTCTATCGTTTATCTTTAAACAAATGTATATTAGTTGTTCAATTTGTCGTCTACAGGCTGTCCTTTAGGAAGACATGGAATCAACTGTAAAAACATTTGCCACTGCAACGGACCATATGATGTTATTACAGGAAATTGCACATTTGGCTGTTTAGATGGATGGATGGGTTACAGATGTGACATTGGTAAAAGTATTTATGGCTGGATGAATTTCTAAACATACAATATGAAATATATATCTTCTCCTCATATGTGTTTTTTTTTTATTTGTATGACCTTTATCAAAGAATTAAAATTGTAGGCTGTAGAAGCTAAACTTTATTGAACTGTTTGCTATATACATGATATACTACAGTGTCTATTTTTAATGTTGATCTTTGACTTTACTCCTTTCAAGTTCTAGCCAAAACAGGCAGAAATAAACTAGAAATGGGTTAACTGAATATATCAGAAAGAAATACAAAATATTGTAATAATTGATAATTTTTTAAAACATATATTTAATGAAAAAATTATTTAAAAATCGATAAATTCTTAAATCGAACTTTATAGACATGATAGATAAGACAACCTTTACCAACAGTTTGAAATTCCATAAACAAAGCTTGGAAAATAATTAGTTTTTTAAGACCATGATCAATCGAAATATATTGTTGGAGATGTGATCTTTGTGAGGTTTAAATGTGAGGTTAAAAGCTGCAAACTAAATTAAATAAAATCAACCAGGACTACCTGGACTATTTGAAATTAAACTAAGCCTTTTCTGCCTTTAATATTTGGTACATATTACAGTTTGCTTTAAACGGCAAATAATGATATTGTTATCTTAAAATGAGATTTAATTGATATGGACATTTTAATATAACAAATCTGGTATTTAAGGTTCTATGCGATCCCTCACTATAAAATTTGTTTTTCTATACATATACTGGTATAAAACTGTCTTTCAAGTGAAAGAAAATAAAATTGTCGTTCTACATAAAAATGAAATAACAGTAGTCTAAAGCATGCTGTAAAAATGATTTAAATCGTTACAGATATTTACAAATAAAAATTTAAATATTAAAATGAATGAAATTGAGTTATGGTCTTTTTGTTTCTGTGCGTTAAAGTCATTATCCATATATAACTACTCTAAATGAAATACAGTTCTAACATTCATAGTGTGGTGAAATGGTTTCCACATAATTGAAGTCTCAGAATATATTTGCGATGGAAAAAATGACTTCCACGACATGTCCATACACAATTTTGATTTTTTTTTTTTTTTTTTGCTTGGCGGCATAACTGAAATACATTGAAACTCTATTTTGCAACTTTTATTAAAAACCGATTACCAAATAATTTCGGGTTGTCATGTGTTCTCAGTAGTTTCTTTCAGTATGGATATAAAGTTGCGACAAGGATTAATAACAAAAGGGAAAGAGTTTAAATCAATTATAATGCATTAAAACATATCACTCGGTTGAGCTTCGTAGTTAAAATTCCACTTTTTTTAGTGTCAAGTACTTACCAGAACCATTAAAAAAGAATATCGAATTGTGTACTCATACGTTAAATTGCTTAAACATAGCTAAAGTTTTCAAGGAAAATGTTATGAAAAAATTTTAATAGATGTTTCCTTTTATGCGACAGTTTTATTCCTTGAAACAAATGCGCTCTCCCGTACACCACGGAATTGATTAGCCATTTCTAGACTAAATATTCATTAAAAATATTTTTGAGGCGTCTTGCTTTAATAACAATCCGTGTCACCACTAACAATATTATTTATAAGCTGTTTTCTATCGGATAAAAGTGAAACAACTGAAATCCAAGAAAATGCCAACCAATTTAAAACTTGTTAATTAACGAAATGAAAAATACCTGATAAGAGTATTCTGTGTGATACATATAGCTGTTCAATACAAACGACATAAATGTGTTAATAACTAGATAACGTCCACCGCATCACTTTAATCATTCTCCATGTTGTCATGTATGAAGATTTGAAAGATTCACTGTTTAAGGAAAAACGTATCTACATGTATGTATAACAACCCTTATTAGTTTTTTTTCAGAATGTTCAAATGGTTTTTTTGGTAACAGCTGCAAGGATTTTTGTAAAACATGTTTTAATAATTCCTGTGATATAGTGCAGGGAAATTGCAGGGCTGGTTGTATCGACAATTACCGTGGACGCAAGTGCACAATGCTAGGTATCTATAATGTACTATGCAATACATTTGTTTTTATTTGAAAATCGTATTATTTAATTCTTGAAAAGTAAAGGAAAGAATCAATACAAATATGTGTGTCTTTGGTTGAACATTGAATTTTACATTAAGTTTTAAATTTGATTTGAATTTAAAACCGCGCATTTTCATATATGGTTTAACAATGGATTGGTAAAGTAGCAGAGAGGCGAAAGATACCAAAAGGATATTCAAACTCATAAGTCGAATATCAACTACCAACGACATGGCTAATAAAGAAAAAGACCACAGACAAACAACAGTACATAAAACACAACATAGAAAACTAAAGCATGTGCAACTCGAACCCCATCAAAAACAAGGAAGGGGGGGGGGGTACCCAGGTGCTCCGGAAGGGTAAGCAGATTCTTCTCCACGTGTGACACCCGTCGTGTTACTCCTATAAAATACGTTGATAAATTATATCAAGTGATTAGACATCACGCAATAGTGGATTGGTAATTGACTCTTATCTAACCATAAGAAATCACTAAATTCTAGACCATCGAGCATGTAAACTTTTCTAACCCTGAAACTTGACCGAATGAGAAATTTTGAAATTGAAACATGTAGAAAAAGTATATTTATTAATCAAATAAGAATAAAATGGTTAATTTTCTTTAGAGAGCTTTTAAAGCTATTTCAAAGTTGTTACTGTTGAAGGGTTTGAGCAGACGAACGTGTCACCATATTATTATTATTTTCTAATTTTGTTGGGTAATTTTAAACTTAAACAAATCCATACGTTAATTATATATAAGTCATTATAAGAAGGTGAAGCAGATATACAGACATCCATTTGCTATTGATTCGTATACTTTGATTTGACCTTTTTTTCTTGAAACAGTAAGAACTTTAATTTGCTGTATGCAGAGACTGCTGGTATTACACTGCTGATAGTGCTGTACTTTATTACATTTAGTATCACACGATGACAAAGACCATATAATCCTGACATACAATGTAATGTATAGTGCTCAAACAAACAAAAATAGGCGTCCTTGATAAATTATAATTACTATGATACATTTCTCGTATGTTTCGGTCCAAAATTCACTTTTAAAGTAGCAACTCGACTTTAAAAAAAAACGGTAAAGAGTAAATTAACATAAAATACCGATCAGAAAGGAAAATTCAAAATGGAAAGTCCTTTATCAAATGGCAAAATCAAACGCCTAAACACATCAAACGAATGGAAAACAACTGTCATATTCCTGACTTAGTACAGGCATTTCCTAATATAGAAAATGGTGAATTAAACCTGGTTTTATAGATAGTTAACCCTCTCACTTGAATGACAGTAAAACTAAAGATGATAGTAAAGTTCTATTATCATTGTCAAATACATTTATCGATTTCAAGAGAGGCGAAAAATACCAAAGGGACATTCAAACTCATAAGTCGAAAATAAACTGACAACACCATGGCTAAAAAAGAAAAAGACCAACAGACAAACAAAAGTATACAAAACACAACATAGAAAAACTAAAGACCGAGCAACACGAACCCAACCAAAAAACTGGGGGTGATCTCAGGTGCTCCGGAAGGGTAAGCAGATCCTGCTCCACATGTGACACCCATCGTGTTGCTGATGTTAGTACAAACCCTGTAATAAGTCTTATTCGGTAGGTCACATTCGGGGAAAAGGGGACGGGATTGTAGTTAAGACATCTGGAACATATCCGCTATCATCTGTGAAACAGATATTCCATATCGGTCAACCAAATCGTGATGGCGTCCGTAAATTTTACGAAGGGATGATTTCAACTTCACCACTTAGAACTTTTGGTTTAATAGCTTCCTTGTGAGCAGCAACCCTCTATCAAGGAAATCATGATAGGAAATACAAGTACAATTTGGACATATAAATTGCTGTTTAGGAATATGTTTATCATGGAGTGTATATACCGTTCAAAAGTCCATACTGGAATCAAATTTAAGAATTGGTGACTTAACAATTGATAAAACATTACAAGGGCGTAGAACAATTTAGATAATAACACAAAATACCCGAAGGTTGACAATAAATGGTAACATTGTCGGTTTTTCTTCAATTTATTATATTTGGTGTCTTTCGCCTTTTTTTCACATAAACAAGGCTATACAGAACTTACATGTCTAATTGAAAACAAAACAAGTGGTCGTATGTACATTTTTTTTTGTACACTGCAACGGTAATTTTGATCTTAATATCATCGGAAAAGTCTGAGCAATAAATTATTGAATCATGTTCAGTCTTTCAATATTCAGAATTATTGACTGCGATCCACCAGTAAAGGAATTTATGTGTGAAACGGCCATTTTGATCTTAACAGGATCTGAAAAATCTGAACAATAAACTATTCAGTCATGTTCACCTTTTCAGACTTACCGACTGATTTAAAAGACAAGGAATTGGATTTACATAAATACTTTAAAAGACAAAGTTCAAGTACTGCGTTTTGGCGTCAGGCATTTTTGTCATTGTCAACATAACACAATACATCTTGTTTCATTTTTATTACTTTTCTAATGACTGCAACGTTGTTAAATACATGAAGTCATAATTTATCACTTCAATTGAAAATTTAAAAGACAATTATTACAGAACATTCAGTATGATAAGTGTAATTACCCGTAGCTGAAAGGGTGAACGAGCAGATTTTTACCCCTCGAAAAAAAACCCTATCAACATGTACATTAGCTTCGGCTCGGTTGACAATGTATCTCCGGGTAACAATCTGCTCAATCACTCTCTCAGCTATGTGTGATTTATATATGATATATAAAATGCCATAGTGTAATCTGATATATTTTTGTTTAATTATAAATACACACTTGCTTTGAAAATCTTTAAAATTTCAGTTTTGGCCAATTCAACTAATACTGATTGCCAGCTGTCTACTCAAATTGGTCTCTTTATCGGGGCGTTGTTGTTGGGTGCTATTTTGGCCATCGGTATAATGAGTATTATTATCAAGAGACGAATATGCATTACACAAGG